TATATTACACCTATCGGATACCTATCGGGCACCTATCGGATATCTATTGGTCCCCCCGATAGCTACCCGATTGGTCCCTGATATATGCCTGAAATATGGATTTCGACCTGTGTATACTGAAAAGAAATTCTGATTTTAGCTGATTTATAATATAAGATGCAATAGGACAGTCAATTTTTTCTGATTTTTAGCTGATCTATAATTAGGAATCACCATTTAGTATTGCAATTCTTTTTATTTGACTAGTGTCATCTTTGTACATTATCATTTATCCTTGTGTATTATCCTTCATCTTAGTGTATCATTTTTCATCTTTTGGCTAATACTTTGGATGGCTACACAAATTATCACCTAAGATGACCATACAATTATCTTAGTATCACAGTCTATTATCTCCTGTGATACTCTGCATAATTACTAATTTGTACCATCGCAATGTCATTAAGTGGGTAATTACTCAAAATTTTCATATATATAAAAAGAAAATATTAATTTGCATATGGAAGTCTATAAAATATCATGTTAATACATTACATTAATGAAAGTTAAGAGTATATTTGAATGTCATAATCCTTTAGCATGAGATAATATCAGTAATTCCATTGTGGCAGGATAAATTAATAATCATGCAAATTATCATAGGGGATGAATACAAGGGTAATAACTTGTGTGACCATCTAAAAGATAATGCATGAGGATGAAGGATGATACACAAGGATGAAGGACAACATGTAAATATGATAAATGAAGTACAAAGGATGACAGATAAAAATTGAATGAAGTTAAAAAGTATAAAAAAAGTGCTTGTTAGAGACAAGAAATGGTATCTCAATAGTCTTTTTAATAAATTTCAATTAGTTTTCTGAATAAATTCAAACAATAATATTATTAGATAGAAAAGTAAACTTCCTTTAGTAATGGTAAAATAGACATATAACCTATAATATTTCTATTTTTAAATGATACTTTACTTTTAAATTTGTACCTTTTATATTATAATAAACTTATCTTTTGTATCACAATATTGTGAAATATTGTTAAATATTATTTGATACTGTGTTAGCACTTTTACTTTATCTTATTCACTAAGCCTTTAGATTAAAAATAAAGAATTAAGAAGAATTAAAATGAATTATATTATTTTTATTGTCTGTTTCGAGATAAGCAAGTTTAGATCAATGGATTGCTTGACCAACTGGCAGATATAGTGTATCAAAAATAAGTTTGTGTGAGACAAATTCTGAAACTGATAGGTGAAAGTGTTAGAACTACTCTACACATTTGCAACACCATTAATAGGAAACAAATGATAGCTTATTTTTTCATTGAATAAATGGGAATATTCAAAAATCAATTCCTGGTAGAGTAAAACTACTGAAAAGAGCAATTCTTAATGATAATATAACATCTTGTCAACTATATTTTGGATATTTTTTTATAGAATAGTAAATCGTAATTAGAAGAATTTTTTTTTATTGAAAGTTGTTAAAATCTTAATGGTTAGATTTTTTTTGAGTATTTTATAATGTCAAACTTAAATATTTATATATACCTTATTTTAATAATTTTAATCAAACCATTAGGCCATTAACATTTTTCAAATATATACATCTTTATTATTAAAAAAAATCCAAAATTATGCACTTTAACATTTTTGATTGGTTGTTTTGGTTATAACATGTTACTGTAAGATAACCATCAGATTTTACAAACATGATTGATGATTCAAGTAAATCTTACATCTGGATGGTGTTATCTGTATAAACCTTCTACAATTTACAAAGATAACAGGATAAAATAATACTAAAACTAATAAACAAAACTAAATAAACTATAAGAATTACTAATCTCAAGATAAAATAATTACAATACGAGAGTTTATACGTAGAAGGAATTAAGTACGATCAATTATGAAAGAGACATACACTGGTCGAAAATTGATAAAACATACATATATTTGAACATATTCAAATGGTTAGAATGCGATTAAGTTTGTCTCAGGTATAGGTTTCTTTGTTTTTTAAAATTTTATGATTTCTCGTTGTATTTATTCTTACATTTACTATCTGTATACTCAATCCCAATTTTTAATTAATTTATTTAATTAATAGGATTCTATGGAGTAAAAAAATCTGATTTAATTCACTTTGTTAAAAGATACTATATTATTACAATAATGGAAATCTTGTATGAATTGATTCACAATGAAGAAATTTGGAGATTTCCATGATAAATATATTTTTAATATTTAATTTAATTTATAGCCTTTAAGTGACATTCCTTTTTTGAGAATGTAGTTTGCACTCGAGAATTCACTTTAATTTAGTGAGAGTATCCGGAAAATTTTATTATCTGTAGTATTATAGAGATTTACGCTTAAAAAATTTTTCGGATGGAAATACAACGAAGAATCACAATATCAGAAAAGATTTTAATATAATGTGAAAAGAAATAATGGAAAAAGAAAACGTGAAATTATATAGAGATAAACAAGAATATTATATCTAGCATTATATAATTAATGTCAATTTGATTCAATTCATACAATTATTAAATAAATTTTATCTAATCTCTTCGAAAAAAAAACGGAAAAACGAAAAAAATAATTTATGATGATTATCAATGGAATTCTGATTTTGTGAAGGTATTACAAATTATTATTAATTACCAACGAATATATTAGGTTAACAGTAATAATTATCGTGCACCTAATTTAGTCAATAAATATAGATTAAAGAGGCTTCATAATTTTCACTATTTGTATCACAAATTCACAATCATTATATAACAGATCACCGCATTTCGACTAGCTATTTATAATTCACCATTGTATCAGTATCACTAATTCGACAATCACATTGGCAATCTAAATTAAGAAAAATAATGAAACGCGAGAAAAGTAAAGAATCTAAATTCATAATTTTGTGCTCTTTAACATTTAGAAAATTCGAACATCTTCCAAAAAATTTTGAAGTACATCGTAGCCCCTTAAATTTTTAAAATTTTGAAGCACATCGCAGCCCCTTAAATTTTTAAAATTTTGAAGTACATCGCAGCCCCTTAAATTTTAAAAATTTCGGAGTACGTCTCCAAAAGAAAGTATTCAGCCAATTTTTAAAAAGGAAGATGCAAAGAAAATTCGAAAAGTTTTTATCATTATCTAATATATATTACACAAATTGTTTTATAAGCTTAATTTCGGAGTCCGAGAGAAAAATAATAATAAAAAAAAATATTTAAAGACGAGTAAAATTTTCTCCTTTTTAAAGTTCCACTCTTAATTCAAATAGTAATGATGAAATCTCAAACAATCTACTCATCATTATTATTGTGCATTTTGATTTTTACTCATTTTCTAACAATATCAGCTGAAAGATGTGTCGATATTCTAGATCCTACAAATCCTTCTGATACAGTAATTATAGACTGTCCACCTACAACGAATAATGATGTTTACGTTAAGCATCAAACCAGCAATTTCTTTGAAGTAACTCTTAATTGTTCAGCTACTGCAGCCTTGTGTAATAATATCAAAGAGGCCTTTAATGACGCTGGAAAAGAAATATCAAAAGTATTGAAGTTAAAACAGATAATCAAAGTAAATGCTACTTTTACAGACTTTAATAATGCAGCTATATTAGGTGAGTTAGATTGTAAAACAATAGACAATATTTATCATTTCTAGGTTTATTCGCTTTATGATTTCATAGTAATATTTATAACATTTAAAAAAAGGTTCTGCAAGTAGTGCACGATATATACCACTGACCTCAGATGATAAGATCATAAGACGCTATCCTCAAGCCCTTGTAAAACAATTTTCTTTAGATGTACATCCTGAATATAATGATTACGATATTATTGCAAGATTTAATTCAGGTAATAATCAATTGTTATTATCAAAAATATCAAAAGAATATTCATAATATTAACATTTAATTATATTATTTTTATAGCCCAAGATTGGTGGTTTAGAACCGTTAACGAAACAATCGGTTCTGATCAATTTGATTTTTATGCAGTTATATTACATGAACTTATACATGGACTTGGATTCTCATCAAGTTGGGGTAATTACATTGAGCTTGCAGATAATCAAAATATCACTGGTCTTACTCCTAATGTCAATTTCAATGATGACAGTCAATTTGAAGGATTTACAGAACGTATTTTTGACAAATATGTAAAGTTCATACCAAATGGTGTAGCAAGCACATCGACATATTACACTTCACAGTTAAATGAGTCGATACCTATTGGAACTTCATTCAATAATATCTCAGAATTTGTCACTCAAATAAAATCTTCTCCACAATGGAATTATGCAGAATTTGCATTATTATCTGCCATTACTAATGGTAGTTTAACCTTTACCCCTGCGAAAAACACAAGTTGTAATGATGAAATTTATTTAGAATCTAGTCTAAATCCTTATGTTCAAGGTTCTAGTATAAGTCATGTCAGTTTAATATATGAATCAACTTCTGATTTTTTGATGAAATATATTTTCAATCGTGGAGAATCACTAGAATATTTAGTCCAAAGAGGTGGAAATTACTCATCTCCAATTGGACCCAGAATTTTGTCTATACTTGAAACAATAGGATATGAAACATATGCTTATCCTAATCCAATTATACCTACATATGAATGTTAATGTTAGAATTATTATTATTTTCAATAGATTTTAGATTAATCATAGTTTTATAAAATTAGATATTTTTATTTTTATTTTCTATCGCACTTTCAAATAATATTTAATTTTTATTAATATTATGAATATTGTAAAGGCAACAACTAAAAAAATAATAAAATTTAGACTGTCAATTTCCGAGATTTAATCTTGCTCAAATTATAAAAATTTTATTACACTCATTATATTGTCTCATAGTTTATAGGAAAGAACGAAATCTTTAATTTATGCGATATTATTTTAAATTGTCACTTCTCAGATGTAAAACGGAAAATTTTATGAATAAAAACTTAACAACCATACTTCAAATAAATTTATTGTTTAATTAATATAACTTAGAAGCTTTATTTTGGCTTTGTTCATTAACATTTTCTTGATAATGTATGTATATCGGAACTATAATTATCCTAAAATCTTGTAACATACCTAATATCAATTAGAAAATCAAAAGTTAGAACCACATGATTGATAGTATAAAATCTCCAAATAATATAGTTATTATTTTTTAATTTCACATTTTATTTAATTTTTATTATTTTTTCATTATTAACAGCTTCATTTAGAAATAAATAAAAAAATTTCTTTATTTTTTCTCCTTTACTATTATTACTAGTGCGATGGTGGCACTTTGTGCCACCATCTTATGGGAGAGATGTGAATTTAACGTGATAAATTTTGTTGAGCAGTACAAGTATCTTGATTTTAGTGAGGTGGCACGAAAACGTCCTAAACAAGGTGTCACTATTTGGATTAAATTATCCTTGTACATCACACATTATCCTTCATCCAATATGAAGATAATATCTTCGTGTTTATGGATGATGGTGGATGGAAGTAAATAATGGGAAGATATAAAAAAGCTGTGAAAAGAAAGAAAGAGAGATTCCTTTTTGCCAAAAAGAACAAGAACCAAAATAAAAATATTTTACTTGATATTTCAAACAATTTTAATTTTAGTTTTATTTTTACTTAAATTTTACTTTAGTTTTATTTTTACTTTTAATTTGTAATACTTTTTAATAATAATAAATAATATAGTTGCAGGACTAGCAAAGTGATAAGATATGCCAAAGCAGTAATATATCAATATTGTTATTCTCTTTTATTTCTTTTATATTTTGTAATAATTTCAAACATAAATTTAGTGTAGCAGAATAACAAAAGTGATATCGGGACCAGGGCTTTTTGTACTATTTGCTCTATTCTGTCTTTTTTCTTATTGATACTATTGTATAAAGGTATAGATTCCTGCATACCCATTGGTGCGATGATGCCATATCCAGCTGCAGTTTCATCATAGGTTTGCATATTTTCTTCAAACTATCTCACAATTTTGATTGCCATTTCCAACGAAGAGTTTTCTTGGGATAAAATAAGTGGTCATATTTAATAAGCAACATCTTTTTGAAGTTCTTTCAAGAAGTGCCAGACCTTTTCATTTTCACTTTACCAGTTTTCTCCATCAATTCTCTCAATCAGCTTATTGTATCATTAGTATATCATTTTATGGTTTTGTTTAGTTTTTGTACTTTCATCTGCAACTTGTACCTTTACTTGTTTATCAGTGTAGCAATTTTGAAAGTAGTCAAAAAGGAAGATTCAAATAATATATGGTTTCTATTGTCCCAGTGTGTGATAGGATTTCATCCTCCTTGTGTTTCTCTGAACTATTGTCCTGTCACATCTTGTAGGTATTGTTATCCATGTAAACCTTCTACAATTTACCAAGACAACGGGATAGAATAATACTAAAACTAATAAACAAAACTAAGTATAACTATAAGAATTACTAATCTCAAGATAAAATAATCACAATACTAGGGTTTATATGTAGAAGGAATTAAGTACTTCCAATTATGAAAGAGGTGTATTTACTATTAACAGTGGTATGAAGACTTGAAAATAGGAGCAAACAGTTTATCAATTATTAAAAGAATACAATAAACAAGGAACTCAAAGGATTGTGTAATATTAACTTTATTACTTAACAAATTCTAACTAATTCGAAAACTAAAAAACTGACTAAAAACTGAAGACTGAGTTGAGAAAATTCTTACCTTTATATACATTATAATTTTAACTGCTAAGCTAACTTGTAATCTGACTGTAAATTTCACTAGTAACTATGCTAATATTCTAAATAGTACCTTAACTGTTAATTTAACTTGTACTTTAACTGAGATATTAACTCATACTCTGGCTTGTACTCAAATTTGTGTTCTAGTATTACAGATTAACAAGAATTTAGGAATTTACTAATTTAAATAATAATATTTAATTTGTACTACAGACTATTAAATTGATCTACTGTAATACTATCTAATGATAAGAAATAATTATATAATATCTAATAATAAAATAATATATATACGAATACAGTGAACTCTCTATAAATGCACTCTCTATAAGGTGCACCTCTCTATAAATACATCCTATACTCCAAGTTCCATGCATAATAACACTTAGTAAAATTCCCTAATAAATGCATTCCCTTTATAAATGCACCCTAATGTTGATTTCCTGAAGGATGCATTTATATATAAATAATTAATAAAAATAAAGATAAAATCAGAGGTAACAGTATTCACTAACTATACTAAACTTGTATTCACTAATATATTTATTTATTCTTGCAGACCTATTGAACTTCTTCAACTATTCCATAGGATCTTGATTCCCTCTGCAGAATGTTAGCATCTTGGCATCATTTCTTATACAGAAGGAATCTTGTAGTCCTCTTATTAAAGTATTAGTTTTGTTCCCTTCAGTGACTCAGCTCATTTCCCTGATTATTCTTCTGGTTATTTTCTTTCTTGACAAGTTGTCTATTACTTCATTGGGCTATCAATTGGACATTTCAAAAAAGAAAAAAAAATAGTATTTTCTTTTTATTTCATTTTGTTATACTGATTTTTGTTTGATTGATTCTTGCCATTGATCCATTGATTAATGATGATTTTATTATATCAAAGGCTGTTTTTGATCACCATTTCTTACTGAAGGTTGGAAATTAGTGGTTTTATTCTTTTATTCTATTTTTAGTAACTGATTCAGTTCCGTTTCAAACAAGAATAGTTGCAAAAAAGAAAAAGAAGAAAAGTTCTTGAAAATAAATTCTAGTGTCATACTTGTGTAAAGTATTTTGAATAATTTTTCAAATCAGTCTCAAAGTTTGCATCACACAAACATAATAATACACTCTATCTACCAGTAGGTCACAGCTAATACAATTGATTTAATTGGCCTATCTCTAAACAGATAATAAATATATAATAAATAATAATAATAATCAAATAATAATCAATTAATCATGAAGGCACAGTGAGTAAGGTGAAGTAAAAGCAATTAACACAGTATCAAACAATATTAATAATATTTTGCAATATTATGACACAAGATATAAGTTTATTAAAATATAAAGTATAAAGTTTTTAAAAGTAAATTATAATTTAGCGACAGAAATATTATCATGTGTTAGGATGTCTATTTTACTGTCCCTGAAGTAAGTTTACTTTTCCATCCAATAATAATTAAAATATTTTGATATATTCCATTACACTAAGTAATAATTAATTAACTAGCTGGTACAATCTGAACTTCTTATGAAACTTACACCTGACAACAGTCATATTTATACTTTCTCTTTTGTTTACAGTTCATCCTTCATCTTTGTACTTCATCCTTCATCCTTTGTGCATCATCCTTCATTCTTTGTGTATCATCCTTTATCCTTTATCCTTCATCCTTCATCCTTGTACAGTCATCTCACCTGGGATAACAATTACCTGAATGTTCATCTAGTACCACAAATTATCATCCCCCATGACATTTCACCTGATTACCAATTTGTGTCACCAAACTAGCTTTATATGGTAAAGATTTTTGTAAATGCGTGAAACAGATTTACTAAAAAGAAAAAAAAATGATAAAGATACTTTATGCCAACCTCACAGGAGGCACCAAAATTCTGTCATGGTCTTTGCAGAATGATATGGAAAGTTACGCCAATCAGTCTCAAATTTATTATCAACGAAATTTATTTCAAAATTAATCTCACATAGTAAGATCAGGCAATTAGTTGATCTAAACCTGCTTACTAACAATCATGACTTATGTAACTACATGTAATATCTGAAGGTACAATGAGCAAGTGGAGTAAAAGTATCTTTATTACCACTTGCACACTACTAAACTACTGTAGACTTTTGATGTAGCTTGCCAAGAAATAAAAGAAATAGTTCACTGTATTTTTTTAGAGTTTAATATTGGATATAACAAAAGCAATATATTACTGCTTTGACGTATCTTATCACTTTTATTATTCCACTACACTAAATTATTTATTATTATTATTGAAATTATTAAAATAAATAAAAGAGAATAACAATAGCGATATTACTGCTTTGGCGTATCTTATTGCTTTGCTATTCCCGCGACTATATTATTTAGTATTATAAAAAAAATTATTACCAAATAAAAAAAATAAAAAAAAATGTTCGAAATATTTAAGTAAGATAAAAACTAAAATTAAATTGTTCGAAATATCAAGTAAAATATTTTTATTTTGGTTCTTGTTCTTTTTTTTTTGGTGAAAACGGAATCTCTTTTTTTTGGTGAAAAAGGAATCTCTTTTTTTTTTGGTGAAAACTAGATCTCTTTTTTTTTTGGTGAAAAAGGAATCTCTTCTTTTTCTTTCTTACCCACAGCTATTTTATATCTTACCCTTTATTTACCTTCATCCATCGTTATTCGTAATCACGGGGGATGAATAAACAGTTATCTTGGATGAAGGATGATAGTTCATCCAAATCATCTCATATCATCTCCCGTGATTTCGTGCCACCAAAGTAGGATGATTATTACTATTTTATTTAATATTACAATCTATATTTTGCAATTCTAAAAAAATCCTAAATACAAACAATAAAATATACAGATAAATAGTGCAAGCAAATAAACAAAATAAATAGCTGTCACTGTGCCAACAAATATTGCAATTCTTGTTTAATCAAATAATTATTTATTATACTAATAAAATAATAATATTCTTAAAATATATTTATAATAAAAGAAAAAATTATTAAATAAAACTTTTTTTATATAAATTATCATTACGTCGTAAAATTCAATAATTGTAAACCCTGATTTTTCATCATAATAAGTTTCGTCTGATTCTTAATAGCATTTCGTTTTTTGCTTGCAATGACTTATTATTTTTGATGTTAGTAATTTTAATTGATTCAATTGAATATCAAGTTTCCTTTTTTACATGAATTCCTTTCTTGAGATAAACTCAATCAACATACTCATTAAAATATTCCTAAGTTTCCTTGGATCGGAGATTTAATTTTATTCTCAAATTATTTGATGCTATTTAGTCAAGGTAACAATCATCACAATAAGGTTAATTTCAATAAGTTTATCTATAAAATCTTTAATATCATTGCTCGTTAGTTATAGGTTAAGTCTTACGGTTAATCATTCAATAAATTACCACCCATGTTTGATTTAAAAATTCGGGATGAATTTTTTAAAAATTTCTAGTGACAAGAAATTTCTAAAAGAAATAAAGAGAAAAAACTAAATAAAATAATTTACTTATTTTATTTTAAAACCTTCGATCATCTTTTTGACTTTATTCTTTTTATTCAGAATAATTATCGCAAAAAAAAAATCTCATACTAGAGACACTGTGAATTATTTGGATTTGTCTCTAACAATATGAACTAGGGTTCGTTGAATATAAAAATTTGTTCTGTATTTATTCCTTCGTATTCATTTTATTTTAATTTTTTATTTTTTTTAAGTTTTCAATTTTGATTAAATATTTTAATTTTCATTCTTGTACATTATCATTTAAAATAATTAATTTATTTTTACTTAGCAAGATATTAAAAAAAATTTTTAGTAATCTAGTTTGTGCACATAAACAAGCAAAATCTAATAAGTCGATTAATAAATATGTTAGAAAGAGGAACCTTTATCAAATTTCTACTTTCACTTTTGTTAAAATGTCTTCAAATTTAGAAAGGATTTCAGCAGCACATACTAATATATTTGAACATATTAAAAAGGTTAGAAAGCGATTAAGTTTGTCTCAGGTATAGGCTTCTTTTTTTTAAAAAAAATTTATGATTTCTCGTTGCATTTATTCTTACATTTACAGTATTTCTTTATGCCCAATTCCAATTTTTAAATAATTGGAATTTTCAATATTAAAGATATTAGATTATTTATGACAAATACAAATTTAATAATTAATTTATTTATTTCCATTTAATTTAATTTACAATCCTTAAATGACATTCAGTTATTTGCAGAAAGTAGTTTGTACTCGAGAATTTACTTTAATTTAATGAGAATATCCGTAAATTTTTTTGGACGCAAATCTCTGTAAAAAATTCTCGTATGGAAAAACAATGAAGAATCCCAATACTAAGTGTTACCAGAAAAAGATTTGAGATAATGTTAAAAAGAAATAATCGAAAGAGAAAACGTGAAATTATAAAGAGAAAAACCAGAAGATTATATTTATCATAGTGGGAGTTATTTATATATATTATTTGTTTAATGTCAATTTGATTCAATTCATCCAATTATTAAATAAAATTTATCTAATCTCTTCGAAAAAAAAAACGGAAAAACGAAAAAAATAATTTATAATGATTATCAATGGAATTGGAATACAAATTCAACAATCATTATATTATTACATAACGGATCACCACATTTCGGTCCAACGTAAATATTTATAATTCACCATTGTATTAGTATCACAAATTCGATATCCCCACATTGCAATCTAAATTAAGAAACATAATGAAACACGAAAAAAAGAAAAGAATCTAAATTCGTAATTTTGTGCTTTTTAATAAGAAAATTTAAACTTTATCGCTTTATCTCAAAAAAATTAAATCGTAACCCCTTAAATTTCTAAAATTTTGAAGTACATCTCCAAAAGAAAGTATTCAGCCAATTTTTAAAAGAATGGGCAAAAAAAAATTCGAAAAGAAGTTCCTATTGACAATACATTACCTAATATACATTACACAAATTGTTTTATAAACTTAATTTCCGGAGTTCGAGAGAAAAATAACAATAATGAAAACTATTTAAAGACGAGTAAACTTTTCCCCATTTTAAAGTCCCACTCTTAATTCAAATAGTAAAGATGAAATCTCAATCAATCTACTCATCATTATTATTGTGCATTTTAACTTTTACTCATTTTCTAACAATAACAGCTGAAAAAAAGAGATGTGTCGATTTTCCAGATCCTTTAGATTGTTCTAATCAAGTAATTGTAGACTGTCCACCTACTTCGAATAATGATGTTTACGTTAAACGTCAGACTACCAATTTCTTTGAAGTAACTCATAATTGTACTGCTACTGCAGCCTTGTGTAATAAGATCAAAGAGGCCTTTAATGACGCTGGAAAAGAAATATCAAAAGTATTGAAGTTAAAAGCAATAATCAAAGTAAATGCTACTTTTACAGACCTTAATAATGCAGCTGTATTAGGTGAGTTGTATTGAAAAACAACAAACAATATTTATAACTCCTAAGTTTATTCGCTTTAATGATTGCATAGTAATTCTTATAATATTTATAAAGGTTCTGCTAATAGTGCACGATATATACCACTGACCTCAGATGATAAGATTATAAGACGCTATCCTCAAGCTCTTGTGAAGCAGTTTTTCTTAAGTGTACATCCTGAATATAATGATTACGATATTAATGCAAGATTTAATTCAGGTAATAATCAAAAATAATATTAACAAAAATATAAAAAGAATATTCACAATATTAACAGTAATTATATTATTTTTTATAGTCAAAGATTGGTGGTTTAGAACCGATGACGAACCGATCGGTTCTGATCAACAAGATTTTTATGCAGTTGTATTACATGAACTTATACATGGACTTGGATTCTCATCAAGTTGGAATAGTAACCTTGAGACTTTAGATAATCAAGATACTACTGGCCTTACTCCTACTTTCTCTTTCAATGATGGCAACCAATTTGAAGGATTTACGGAACGTATTTTTGATAGATATGTAAAGTTCAAAAGAAATAGTGAAATAAGCACCTCGACAAATTACACTTCCCAGTTAAATGAGGCGGTACCTATTGGAGCTTCATTCGATACTTACTCGGAATTTGTCACTCAAGTAAAATCATCTTCACAATGGAAATATGCAGAATTTGTACTTATATCGGCAACTACTAATGATAGTTTGACCTTTACCCCTGCGAAAAACACAAGTTGGAATGATGAAATTTATTTAGAATCTAGTTTAAATCCTTATCTTCAAGGTTCTAGTATAAGTCATGTCAGTATAATATATGAAACGACTTCCGATTTTTTGATGAAATATATTTTCAATCGTGGAGAATCACTAGAATATTTAGTCCAAAGAGGTGGGAATTACTCATCTCCAATTGGTCCCAGAATTTTGTCTATACTTGAATCAATAGGATATGAAACAGATGCTTGTCCTAATCCAATTATACCTACATATGAATATTAATGTTAGCATTATCCAGTATTATATTAATAATTGTATTTTTATTTATTAATTAATTTATTTTTACTTTCTATCGCTCTTTCAAATAAAGAATGACTCTTCTCCGAATTGATAATCGCTTTATTCTATCAGTTATTGTCTTGTTAATAATATTCATAAATAATTTAATATTAATTTTAAGCCTGTTCACACGTTCCATTATAAAATTAATAGTCTCATAGTTTATAGGAAAGACGAAATCTGAAATTCATTTTAAATTGTCACTCCTCAGATGTAAAGCGAAAACTTTATAAATATAAATTTAACAACCATAAATGTTGAAGTAAATTACCCCATTTATTTATCATTTGCATGCCCTTATAATTGAGTTTTTTTTTTTAACTATAAATAATTTATTATTTAATTAATATAACTTAGATGCTTTATTTTAGCTTTATATTAACATTAATAATAAATAGTGTAGACGCGACAACAAAAGGATGAAAGAAAACAAGTTTGAAAATGTATAAAATAACTGGTAATTTGGGGTAAGAAAGGCGGATCGGCTTTTATTACGATTTTATACTTTTGTAACTTTTTTTTTATAAATTTCTGAGATCTGCAAACATTTTTATAAATAATAATTGCAATAATAATTTCTTGAACAATTGAAATATTTTGTAATAATTTGAAAAACTTAATAAAACTTTATTTCGTGACAAATGGTAATATTGGTGAGAAACAGCTAACAGCCCGTAATGCCTCTATTACCAATTTTGTAATAAACCTTATAAACCCTTTAATTTCTTGATTAAGGTTACTTCAGAAAGTCAAAACATAAGATTCAAAAGTTTGCAGAACAAGTTGGTAAAGATACTTTTACTCCACTTGCTCATGTACCTTCAGATCACACCAGTGTGTATAGTTGTTTAAGAATATCTGTAGTACAAACATCCTGTTGCTTATGTCAGCTGATTATTGAGTAACACTGAACAAAACTATACTATCATCAAGAAAGAATACCTTGTAGCTATTTGAGCCATGTAATACTTTAAGCATACTTGCATGGTCCTAAGTTTGATCTTTATACTAACAACTTAGTCCTTACATAGCTAAAGAACCATCTACAGCTGAAAGGAAGAATTGTACATTAGATTTATGAATTATTCAAGTATGATTACAAAATCATTTACAAACAAAGGTGTCTTAATGTTAACGCAGATACCCTATCTCATATCAAGTATTAAAAAAAAAATACACAAATGGAAGAAATACAAAAACTCAGACAAATAGCAAAGAACTTATGAAACCTTTTGAAATTGACTTAGGTGTTATTACTATTTTTTTTTTGTTCTCTTCATTGTCAACATCATACTTTCCCATCCATCACATCCCATTACCTTTAATTTTCATCTATATAATCTCTCTTTTATTGTCGCTGCTCTCCCTTCTACTTCTTTTTCTCTTTTCCTAAGATTACTTATTAATACTTATTGTCACTTATCTTCGCTTATCCACTTATCTTATACTATCCATTTTATTTTGTCCTCTTCACCATCCCCTCTATTCTGAATTTATCCTAAAAATCTTGATTCTTTCTTCTCTTTCCCCACCTATATTTATAATTTCTTTTAGCTGTGCCTGTCATGTGCCACATGACTTCTGATATATTGCAACTGTGAATGCTACGGTCTACTGCGGATTACTTTGGAAAATGCCATTTTGCTTAGATAGTAACCACTCTTCTTAACGAAAGACCATTCAATAAGGCAAAGATACAAATGTTTTAAACTGCCACTACCTCCACAGTAACCAAGAAGCTAAACAAGACCAGAATTAAGTATTTTGATATTTTCTTTCTTTTTCTTTCTTTTTTCTTCTTTCATCAAATAATCAATTGATAGATTAATTTATATTTTTAGAATAGAATTGGAATAACTATAAAAGTAACTTTAATTTTTCTTCCTTATGTATCAATTAATAATTAATACTAGTATTAATAAAAAGAATACAATTAATAATGTCATTTTTTTTACCTTGATTAATTCTTTAAATAGTTTTTGAGTAAAATTAGGATAGATACTTTACTTTCTTTATTTCTCCTTGTACTTTCTTTACTTTTATTTAATAAAATCTTTATTTTGTCTATAAATAAATTACATATATGTTTATTTCTCTCCTTGCATTTGTTTTTACAGTATAAATAAAATCTTTATTGTATAATCCAGAGTCTTAAAATCTAAGAATAAACTATCAATCTTTAATTTTTTTGCTCAACTGTCATGTGACTTAGCCAGAATTCATCTTTTTCATTCTTTAAATTCATCTATTTTTTAAATCCCTATCAAGTTCTAGAGAAACTATTTCATTTTATTTCTTATTTTCTTTAGATTAGAATTTGCCATATTTTCTCTTCTCTATATTTAACATTCCTTCCTTGTAACTACTCCAATTTGCCTTTTTCTTGTCTTATTCAGTTTCTTTGCTTTTGTTATGCTATAGTATAGAATATTAGTTACTTTAGTATTATTTGTCTTTCCATATTCTCAAAACCCACTGATAACTACTGGGCTAAATTCAAGCACTTGTTGTACTTGCCCTCATTCTTCTAGCAGGTAGTATCAACATTTACGATCAAATAACAAAATACTTAATTAATTACTCTCTCCCACTGAATTGGACAAGCAAGCAATGATGACAATTATGACAGCAATTAAATTATTATATCATACAAGATAATTTATTATTCCAATGTAATAAGGATGACAGCTCATTACAGATAATATTAATGAATGATGTAATAAGAATATTATACAATAAAAATAGTGTGCCAAATGCAGGACATTTCAGCATAAAGGTAATAATTAATAAGACAAGACAACAATACTTCTGGTTTACAATGAATATTGATATAAAGAAGTATGTAAAGACTTGTGACATTTGTCAATGACAAGGCAAGTCTACAAAAACTGAAAAGTTGTGACTTATTAAAGTAAGACAAGCCTTCAAGCGATTAGACATAGACATCATGAGATCCTTGAAATTAACGTTCACAATGAAGAAGTACATTATAGTAACTACAAATTATTTTACGAAGTAGCTGGAAGTGAAAGCAATAGAAAAGGCAAATATAATAACTTTTGTCTGGTTTTATATGATGGGATTATATGCTGATACAGATGTTGTTATCCGTGTAAACATTCTACAATTTACAAAGACAACGGGATAAAATAATACTAAAACTAATAAATAAAACTAAGTATAACTATAAGAATTA